TTTTTGCTCACTCATTTTCATGTGTATAACATATTCTTAATCGCAAAAAAAGGCACTCAACAATAAGTGAAAAGGAAATACAGTCTGCACTTATAACTATCGTTTAAGGCGTCAAGGATGATACAAAAACTCGATTTTTTGTTTTTTTTTCATATGTTAGAAATAATCATAGATTTAGATTATAATAATAGATTTAATACTGAATTAAGTTCTATTTTGGCAACACGCACTAAAATATACATTTGGGCGAGTTTTTCTTCCTGTCCTGACTTTAGTCTCCGCTTTAGTTGTTAAGCACCGTTACTTTGGGGTGGGGGGCGTCTTGTGTGTAGAGCGGCGACGGGAGGCATTGTCCTCTGCTTGCACCTTAAGTAATTTGCTTTTTGTTTGTTAGCGCTTCCTTAGACACTTCCAAGACAGTGCACAGACTCCTACTGCGGCAGGCACAATTATAATTAATTGCGTCAGTGAAACTAGAGCAGGTAGGCCTAATCAGCTGTCTATCATTTCTCATGGAAGTGCGGCTTTCGTGGGGCGAATAAGTTTGCGTATAAAAGTAAGATTTTCTGGCATCTAGATAGAAACAAACAACCCAATTTTAACATGTAATGGTGTGTAGACCTTCCCGATCAATTAGTTGATAACAGGTAAGGTGGAGGTGCAATTAATTTAAATTAGCCTAATTACCTGCGTCAAAGGTTTACGAGCGATTATTCAGCTTCGAAGATTGATAACAAAGTCTAAACTTCAGCCCCCATATCTCATTGTTCAACTGTCAGATTGACATGAAATTTGATTTCGCTGTGTTTCAGTATAATTTCTATTCAACTGCACCTCAATTTTTTGACTTACCTTTTATTTTTGAAGTTCTTAATACTGAAAGTGAAGGGTTCATATATATTTCGTGAAATTCACGTTTTATCGAAATAAAACCAAAAGTAATACTAATAAGAGAAAATCCTGATTCAGTTTACTGTTTTTTTTTGTGCTTCCTTTAGGTAGCTCTTTAAATCGTATTCATATGGCTTTTAGTTTAAGAGAAAAAAAAAGACAATTTTAGCCCCAAAACGCTGATATTACGTCACTCGTGTTACACTGCGACTACAAGCCTTGGAAGATTGTTTTGCTTGGTAGACCATACCTTTTAGTTAATAAAGAATTAAATTAGCTGCATTAGTTTTGGACTTTTTCGTTAATATCCTTGACCCTCTAAGTTTTTTATAAGTATAGGTATATTAAAGCTATAGTAAAGCTAGTAAAGGTATCTGGTGATTTCAATTTAAGATTGATGTCAAAAGGCAGATGTCATACCTGTAATCCAGGTAAGTTGTTTAAGCTAATTACCGGTTTGTATGAGATAGTTATCGGAGGGAGTAATCTGACGGCAATGTTTACAACACCTCCTGCCAGGAAAAGCGTCCCTTCGTCTAATTAATCCTTGTTACGCGTGCCGGTTTGCAGGGGGTATATAAGGTGGACACGTTAAACCTTCTGTAGACACTCAAGTATGGCTCAACAGAAGATTGACTCGTTTTTTCGGAAGACATCAGATGTTCAGAACACATTTCCAGCATCTTGGCTCTCGGAGCCCCTGCCAGAAAGACCAAAGAAACGGCCTGTGGGACGGCCTAAGAAGGTTGTGGTAACTCGGGACGCCGAACCAGAAGTGGTAGATTTGATGCTTTCCAACGAGAGATCAGCAGCTAAGCGCAGACTGGATGATGCGGAGATCGCTCCTATTCCTAGCAAACGGGGGAAATACAGAAGCTACAACCTGACTGAAAAAAAGGAAATCGCAGATTTGGCATCCCTACATGGCGTCTGTTCGATTGCAAAGAAACTCAACATCCCCAGGTCAACAATCTCCACGTGGATAGCAGAGCTCAACCATTTAGGAGAAATCAGCTGTAAAGGGAAACAAGGTAATGATTATAAGAAATTGAAAATAATTAAATTATGTTCTTTGATTTTAACAACAATATATCCAATTACGTATTTTCCAACATTTATTTTAAACACGTGTAAGACAATTTTATTAAATATGCCACGGTTTACGGTCACCTGTACCAGATATAATAGAATCTTCGAGAACACTTCTTAGAAATCAATATTTATAATCATTGTGATAATTGACTGACGGAGTAAATATCACGAATAAAAAGAGATTTTGCATAAGGTCGATTGCTAACACAAGGTCTTAATAGTTCTTTTTCTTTTCTAGGTACAGGGAAAAAGTGTCTTTTGGGCAAAGAATTAGAGGACGACATTCTTGCCTGGGTTCTTGGTCAAAGAGATCTGCACCTGCCAGTTTCCGTGGAAGCGTTATGTAGTCAGGCCCATGCCCTAGCAGCCTCTCAAGGGATCGACTTTAAAGCGTCCAGAGGATGGGCAAAGCGGTTCATGGAAAGAAACATCCTGTCCATACGCTCCACAACTACTGTCAGTCAGCGTCTTCCAGCCGATCTTCAGGAACGCCTGGGTGTCTTTCATCAACATCTGAGGGAAGTGCAAGAGGAGTCGGACTTCGAAGACCGCTTTATTATTAACATGGACGAAGTCCCCATGGTGTTCGACCTGCTTCCGTCAAAGACAATAAACAAGAGAGGAGAGAAGGACGTCAGGATAATTTCGACAGGGGCCGAAAAAAGACATTTTACTGTCGTTCAAAGCGTCGCTGCGGACGGCAGTAAATTGCCTAGCATGATAATATTTAAAGGTAATTTAGCAAACTCTTTATGTTGTATAGTTTAGACTGGTAAATGTTTATTTATGAAGAAACATTACTACAATTAGATTAGTTGTATGGTTTTGCGAGGGCAATGTGTGCAAGGTTATTGTTAAAGTCTACAGATAATTTACTTCCAATAGCAATCGGTGACTGTTATAAATATCTACATATTTCTAAGTTTTACTTTACATGCATTAAACAATTTCAGATCTTTTTGCAGTTTTCTTCATCCCTGAGAGTAAATGAACATTTCAGCCAGTAACGGAGTTTAGCTATAAATATCGCTATTGATGTCGTCCTTTCATTTTTTCAGGCAAGAGAAATCCAGTGCTGGAGGGGCCAGAGGGTTGGTTGATCACAGCAAACCCTACAGCCTGGATGACTGAAGAGCTAATGTTGGAATGGGTGGCTAAAATCCTGAAGGTATATACGGAACGACGTCCTTCTCTACTGGTAATGGACGCCTTTTCTGCGCATACCACAGAGAGGGTGACACGTGCACTGGAGCGAGTGGCAGCCAAACCGGCAATTATTCCTGGAGGATGCACCTCTAAGGCCCAGCCCCTAGATGTGTCCTTGAACAAGCCGTTCAAAGGCCATCTTAGGCGGCTGTGGTCGGAGAGGATGCGCGACGAAGTCGCAGCTGCGAAGGGACTCATTGACCAACTGAAGACTGCCAGTAAGCAAGAAATAGTCGACTGGATCAAGGCTGCCTGGGACAATGTCCCCGCAGCCATGATCCAGAAGTCTTTTTCTGTTACTGGCATCTTGCAGTCACTAAGGGGAGAGTGTGATGTTTCAGCGCCGGAGAGCGACGTAGGCCTACATGTACCGCTGCTAGAGAGCGACAGCGACGGAGAGGAGTTCGTGGGATTTAATCAAGAGGACATAACAGAGTGTGACGATCCTTTTAAGGACCTTTTGTAAAAGACAATAACAACGTTCATACCTTTACCTAGGCATAATATGTATGAACAATGCAGATTTAAAGGACAACTCAGTGGGTTAGATTAATGTATAGAAGCAGGTTCTATGTAAAACTTTGATCAGATTTGTGTTTTGGGAGATTGTTTATTATTATATGAATAAGTCTGGGTCACAAAAGTCCTGTTAAGACAACTAGAATAAAGAATTAGAAAACGAAAACTATTTATCATGATTTCGAAGTATTTATTGAAATGTAAAATGTAGATATGACTCCTATAGGTGATTTTGAACTTTTAAGCACTAAAACGCATATAACTTTTTAGTAAGACACAACGTTCTCGTTTGAATTTAATAAAAGACCAGGGTTTGGTATGTTTTAACTTCTTCATTTTGTTTTTCTAATTATGTTACGCATCGTCATTATTACAGTGATTGATTCCACTTATTTTGGGGAACTGCAGGTTTATTCTTCTCCTTGGGTAAAAAATTAATGGGGACATAAATTTAAATTAACGTGGCTTATTAAATAAATGCACAATTACCAGATTTTAACCGTGATTCTTTCCGTGCGGTGGGGAAATTTAGATACGGGAAGTACACAGTGCGGGGGCATAAAGGGGAATATAAAAATAAAAATTACCGTCTCCTAAGTTTAATAAATAATTTGGTATTGCGACATTGGCTATTTATTATTATTATTATTTTATTTTTGGCTACTATCGGATGGTGTAAGATTTTAAAACATAGGAAAGATAACATAGGACGGCTTGTCTTGAGCGACAAATATTACGTACTCCCGGTAAGAAGAGCGTTTGCGTGGATGACTCAAACAATCCAACCATCTTGGAAGTCTTAATTTTTGTATTTCGTTCAATTCGACGAAAGCCATGTTGCTGAGAATATAATTAATTTATTTTCGTCGAATTGTTTGGCACATTACCGTATTCTATTTTGAAAAGAATGAAATTGGTCATGTATTTGAAGATATTTGTGGCCATTGTGGAGTGCAAATCCCATTTTATGCATTCTTCATGTCATGTCATCACTTTGCCAAGGTTTTCAACGTATATAATGGCAGCTGGGATACATTTTGGCTTTTGATCAGAAGTAAGGTTGCTTCAAGTTTTCAATAATATCAATATCATCACAGATAAACCTAATTGCCCAAAGAAAAAAAATTGATCTCTGAATCACAATGAGCAATATTTTCCCCATCATATTGGAGTGGCACTTTAAGTGTTTATCTCTGAGTTGTGCATACATATATGTATCAGTTGAAAATTGTTGATTATATAAAATTTTTTCATAGTAACTTTACTCAAGTGGTTTCATTTTCTACCAAAAGGTGTCAGCACAGGGTCAATAGAGCTGCGTGGAGATGGTACTTTACATGAGTGGGTCATAATGAACCAAACGCCAGGGGGAGCTGCAAAAATACAGGTACTGAAGGCCACCATTAGGATTGAAAATAAGTGTGGGCACTTAATATGGTTACTGTATACATACAAAAGGCATTTCCACAATTGTGCATTATTTTAACATTTGCATGACAAGCAGGTGTGATGTAAAATTCAGCATAACAGCTATGATCTCCAATTGAATAAAAATATTGTAGAGCTCTTGTTTCATTGAATGTTACATAAATTGTTGCATTACATAGATATTTCAAATAATGATATCATTTAATTTGAGAAAAACAAAATATTTCAGTCAGTGGGTTTTTTTGCTTATAAATTGTTGAGATATTATCTAGAATAACATTACAGGATTGGTCTTGAAATTGTTCTAATGAAAATATAGATTTAACGTAAGTCACAAATGTCAACAAGAATAATGATCAACCAAGTTTGATATTAAAAACTTTCATTTGTAGGTATTTGAAGAAGCAGTGTTTGGTATGAGAACTTCAGTGAGTTCAGTTTCAAAGAAGCAATCAAACCAACAAAAACAAGTTGCCAGTCAGAAGTCTGATGAATTTTACCTCAACGTGCATATACCCAGATCTGAAAATGAAGTGATCAAAATGACCAAGGAAATTGATGAAGAAATCGAAGAAATGAGGGTCCAAATAGGTGGTGACAGATTAAAACGTCATTTGAAAAAGCTTCCTAAGGAAAAATCAAATGGAGCCCAAGCATTTGTACTTCAAACTCATCCACCCACAGGTAAAACTTTTAAATATGGAAAGAGTTTTTTTAAAGAGAGAATTGACCCATCAGCAGTCTGTCCTTTTAACTCTTAACTCAATGAAATTGTCTTTATGTAATATATTTATTAATCATTTCATGTTAATATTTTTATATTTCAGTTTTATGAGCTCCAACAAAAAATTTCTAATATATATATATATATATATATATATATATATATATATATATATATATATATATTAGTTGAAGACATTATTATTATTATAATAATTATTATTATTATTAAGGTTTGCCAGGTGTTCAGGCTATGAAGTACCAAGGCTCTCACCCAGTGTCCAGACTAGAGGTGCAAGACTCGTGTGTACCTGTTGAGGCTGCCTTGTATGGTTACTCTACATATTATGTGAACAACCTCAATAAGTCAGCTACACCAGCCATAGCCTTTACATTGGTCATGAAGAATCCTTCTAAAACAAACAAAGTTGATGCAGCTTTCATGCTCAACCTTCCTTTAGGAATAGAAAAGATGCAGGACAGGTCATACGTTGAAGGGACTCTAGAATCAGAAGAAGCTTTGACTGTCACTAATGATTTACAGTGCATGAAGCTTTGCAGTAGTGTTAAGGAATGTGGAACATGGACATTTCAAGAAGACACCAAGTCTTGTGTACTCTACACCAGTGTAAACTTGAATAGGTTTAATCCCCAGAGGTCATCAGGTGTCAAAGGCTTTTGGCAAGTCCATGAAACAGGAGGCAATTTAAATTGTATCTCTCTGGTTCGTGAATGCAATGTGGCCCCTTGTGGAAACCTTTCAATTTGTGCATCCAGCTTAAACAATCAGGGTGTGGCAACCTCCTTTGGATCAGCAGATGATGTGATGGATCTTTGGAATGACTTTGCAGCTAATGGAAAATTCACCAAGACTGCAGTCACACCAGAATCCGGGGCACTTCCCAATATGCATGGAGCAATGGCATTATCTACAACATTGCAGCCAGGGAAGGAAAAGTCTGTGACATTGATTTTATCTTGGTATTATCCTAACCGCGATTTCAAGCGCAGGATTTATGGTAACTTTTACAAGCACCTGTTTGCTGACTCCATTGATGTGGCACAGCAGATGGCAGTGGCCTTACCTCATACTATTGGCAACATCACCCTGATGCAAAATTCTTTATTCAACTCATCTCTACCTGAATTTCTTCAAGATATCTATGTCAACAGTTTGGGACATATAAGGTACTTTACTGCTGTTCATAATAGCATTGATTGAAAGTCTGCATATTATCTGATGGGGAAATTCTTGGGCGTGAACTTTAACCTGTTTTTAAGATTTAAACCACTGGAGTCCATTAAAGTGCACTGTTTATGATATCCTTGTGATCACCAAGATAATAAATTTCATATACTATTGATCTTGTAATTTTCATTCAGTAAGAAGTGCTTAACATAGATTTAGGATGAAGTTGATTTTTTACTTATTATTTTGTTTTAGGTCTGCATTCTGGCTTGCTGATGGCAGGTGGAGGCAGTGGGAAGCTTATGACTGTCCTGATACAGGTAAGATATCACAGACAGATGACCAGACAAACATTAAGGACAGAACTGAAACCTGAGTATATATAGTCTAAAATGATTTCCAGATGACAACCACTCCCCCTCCCACAGAATAACTTATTCTTGCTTTAAAATATCTGGTAAAAAAATGTTCAAGTGACACCTGATGTGCCTTAAGTGTAACTGTAACTTTTATAACATTAAAGAGTTAATTTTTTCTGAATAAGTATTTAATATTTCATACATTTTTGCATGCACTGTAATAAGTAATTTTTTATTTATTAATTGTTAAAATGTAATACTTTTTTCAGACTCTGTTCATAATGATGGTGAAAGACACATTCCATACATAACATTCTTCCCAGAGAGTACCAAGAATAAGATGTTGGCTTGGGCAAAGTCTCAGAATGCAGCTGGAATGATAGCTGAGGAGCTCCGTGTCAGTGTTCTTGTCCCTGGCGATGAGATAGATGTCCCTGGAGGCAGGGTCATGTCAGACTGTTCATCTATGTTTGCTGTGTATGCTTTAGAATTATATAGGTTAGTTATAGATGTTGACTATCATATTTATTGATAATTTTAAGAGCTCATTACCTATGATACTACAATGATAGCTTCATTTGGAATGAACCAAAACATGTTGAGCATAAGGTAAATAAAAACGGAGAAAACTGAAAAATGGAAACTGGCTTGGGTGAGATTAGAAGTAAACTTGGATTAAAGGGTCACATGGATGACATTAGTTTTGCCCTCCCTTTGGTGCTTGAAGCATCAAGTAATTGGGATAAAAGTCAGTTTGGACAAAACTTCAAGGTCCTGGCAGTCTGCATTTTTAAGAAACTAAGTCCAAACTCTCCCATAATGACAAGCTGTTGTGCTAGTTAGTTTTTGTACAACACAGAGATCTTTCATATCATTTATCTACAATTGTAGTTATTGTAGTAGTAGTATCACTGTTTTGGTGGTGTACTTTGTTATGGTTATGTCTCTTTTTATTTTAGGTGGAAAGGTGAGGTTGAGTTTGTCAAATCCCTATGGCCGAATATCAAGAAGGCTGTTCAGTGGCACATAGATCAGGCAAAGGAATATGGTCAACCCAGGAAGCTGGAGACCACATACGACTATGTTGTTTTAACTATCTATGACTTCTCTGCATATACATCTGGTTTCCATTTGTTAGCATTGAGAGCTGGCTACGAGTTAGCTTTAGCTTTTGGTAAGCAGGCATTGATAAGATTAATAACATACATCAAGTTCACTTGTTTTTTTCTTGTTATTGCATACATTTACTTAACATGGCAGATGGTGTAGCTTTGTTATCAATAAATTTTGAAAATGTTCTCAGATTCTGCTTGTCTTTAAAAAATGTCAGTAGGTTTGTATAGTGTCCATAAAAGCACCTCAAAAATCTGTAGTCATTTAAGACATAATATAAGAGTAAATAAGCTGAATGATGCCTCTAATATTTCAAGGTGACACGGACTTTGCAAATACCTGTCAGTCTGCCTATCGTCGTGGAGTGGAGGCCATAGATAAGTACCAGTGGAATGCCACTCACGAGTACTACAATGCCTACACTACTCTGAACAAAGTAGACAGTATCGACTTCCGTCTTGATTCTAAGAATTTCAGATCCACTTTGGGAAAAATGATTGAAGCACAGGGACTAGTAGGTATGAATATTGGCTTAGTATATTTGCTTCAGTATGCTTTGTGTTAACACTTTACTAGTTGCTAGAAGTATGTGCCAGTAAAATTGTGAAATGCATTTCAAATATTTGATTATGATTCTTACCATAATTTTGTCCAGTAAAAATAGATTTTCCTGATTTTTTTTTTTGCTATTTGGCTGAACTTAAGATAATGGTAGAGATGGATATAACTGGTTGATGACAGTTTGCATTTCATTTCATTTGAAAAGATGATTTATTTTTCAAACCATGTACTCTCATTGTGTATTAATTTAAAAGTATTTCTTTACCAACAGGTGTAACAGAAAACCTTCCTGCCACACCTGGTGCAGTTATGGCAGATTCATTTTATGCACAGGTAACAGTCTTTTAGATAGGTTACTGTAACATATATATATATATATATATATATATATATATATATATATATATATATATATATATATGGCATACACAGTCTTGTTGTCAGCTGTTTCAGATGGTTACATTATCAATCAGGAATGAGAAATATTCCTTGCCAATAAGGAACATAAAATATTTTCATCAAATTTAATGTTCATATATAGTTTAACTGTACAAGATCTTACTTGTTTCTGAGTAGTTGTATTTCAGTGTCTCTGAAATGGAATATCTCAGCAGCATGTGATATTTTTGCATCATTTCCAGGTTGTTGCATTCTCTGTAGGACTTGGTCCTCTTGTTGATCCCAGTCGTTTAATTAAACATCTGAAAGCAGAGTATGAACACAACGAGACACCATATGGCATGCTGGTTATGACTGGTAGGCTGATTTGTAATATAAAACTTACATAAAATATCATGTCATTTAGCTAGCAAGAGCTTTGTTCATTTTTGTTTTTACGTAATTTTGAATAACTATGAATATATTCCCAGTGTACATGTAACTGAATATTGATGCAAATTCAGAGTTTTTCACTTGAATATATTTTGAATTTGTAGGCCGTTACCCCTACCCTGGACCTGCAGTAAAACCCTTCAGAGATAACTGTATTTGGCAGATGGCTAACCCTAACTGGGGGACTCTTAACATCCACTTGGAGCAGAATGTCACCAATGCCATCAATGTGGCTAAGGTGACTTTAGATAGGTGGCGCTCCATCGAAAACGACCAGTGGAATGCAGCAGGAATCACAGGAGGAGTGGGTTATGGACTGGAGGGTCAGAGCTTCATGACCAGTCACTATGGTTACTATATGTCATCATGGTATATGATATTTGCTCTGACTGGCCAGTGGGCAAGTATCCCTGATGGTATATTAAAGTTCAACCCCAAGGTTGCCCCACCATACAGATATCCTGTCTTGTTGCCTGGGGTTGTAGGTTCTTTGGAAGCAGAAAATCTCCTTGCAGGTAAAATCCAATATTCACTGGAACTGCATTTTGGTCAGTTGGAGTTGAATACTTTGTCTGTTAATGGAGTGGTCTATCCAAGCTCCAACGCCCTTCTCAGAGCTGGGGACAAAGTTACTTGGTCTTCAAATTAGAAACTTATGTTCATATCTGAATTTATTCTAATTTTTTCTTTCACAGAGTACCAATTACCCTTTGTTTGAAATACTCACTTTTAACCTGCATTAGGATAACATAGGAAAAAAGGGATTACATTTTCTCAAGTTAACAAATTTGTTGTACTTTATTTCTGTGAAATCCATTTTTTTGTAAATCCTTATTATAATGGCTTTTTGTCAAGGTGTAGGAGTAAATTGAGGTATATTTAAGCATAATCTGTGCACAATGCTCTAAAGTCATTGACTGTGATTCTAAATTGACATTTAGTCTTTATTTTTGAATTATACTCAAGATACATAATATTTTCTTAAGTTCATTTAAAGGGTATATATTTCTCAAATATCTATCAAGTTCAAAGTTGATATCTTAAAATGGTAAGAACATTAAATGTCAATCAGCATCATTAACTGGTTTCACAAGTTGGTTGCAGTCTGAATATTCCATGAAAAAGGTCGAACTGGTTAAAAACTGGCACAATATACCACATAGCTGTGATGGGAGTTGGTTTAAAACTTAGACTGAATATATGTAACATTAACCCAAGCCATGTAAATGTCCTGTTACCATTTATGTAGTTCAAAAAAGACAGCTTGTTGCAATATTTAAGCTGCTGTTTCTGTGCCGTACACTCTTCTTATAGTATTTCATTTCATCTAAGCAAAAATAAATTACCATTCATGCCAATATGTTAACAACTTTTGTTTAGCTTTAAACATTCCATTTTATTTTGGAGACTATGCATATATGTATAGTTACATGAAACTTGTTTGTAGTTGACATGTTGAATAATGTTACAGTGTACTTTTACTCTAAAAGAGCATTTCTAACTATTTACCAAATCAGTGTGGATTGATGTTGATGTTGTCATTTTGTTTAGTGAAATATATAAAGCATTTGGTGAAAATTTCAGAAGAAATCATGAGCATAGATATAAAGTGTTCAGAAAAAAGTTGGCATTTATAATTTTTCGCTTTAAAATACTAAAATCCAGGTTGATTTTACATTTATTTGTTGCTTGCACATTTATACTTCTTTGTATTCTTTGGTATTTCAGGTGAAGGAGAAGAGATTTGTTTTTGATAATCAACTTTCACAATCTTATTTTTGCCATTATTGTATGTATACAGATATGATAGCCAGATCTTTTTGAAAAATCTAATCTACATCTTTTTGCATCTAAATACATTTTTCATCAAAGGAATTCCTACCTTTTTTGGAAGAAAAACCTGCCAAGTTAACCAAATGTATACCTTGAACATGCAAAGTACTTTTTGTGTAGTAACAAATTATTCCATAAGAAATAGAAATATGGTGTATATCAGTGTTTCAAAAAGATTATTTTTCTTTTTGACATTGTAACTTTCACTTCAGTGCATTAATAAAAAATACAGTGAACCCAGTATGGAATTTTGTCTTTAACTTAAAATATGGAGCCTTACTAACATTTCAATAGCAAATATTGTTTCTCTTTATTTAGAAATAATTGAATGAATATTGCAAAGTGTGAACACAGTGGATCATCCGATGCATGTAACTAGTATGGGGGATGAATGATTTGCACTGAATAGTACGTAAAATTTGTGGATGTAAGTTTTAGATGCTTCTCACCTTTGTCTGCTGGGGGGCGTCTCGATAGTCCGAAGGTTCATTGGTCCGAAGGTTCATTAGCCCGAAAAATGGTAACTTTTTCATTATTTTTATTTTAATTAAGGGTTCATTGGTCCGAAGCTTCTATAGAGAACATTCGGACCAATGAACCTTCGGACTATTGCTACGGCCCCGTCTACTCAACCTTATCATAGAGAACACTTCCAGTTATTGGTTGCAAATATAATTCATTAAATATCCTGACTTTACTGATATACATTTTTTAACTGTTTATTAATTTTAAAAAAGACAAAATATATAATAAAATAAGCTTATTTTAATACAAAAATTTAGTTAACACACCTTGTACTGGAAGCTTTACATGATATAGTTTTTACTTTATAGAACATGAAAAATGGTTCACTTCTAATGCGTATGGCCAAAAACTTATATTCACACATGATTAAATTTGAATATAATAATTTTTTAGACTTAAACCTGTTCTGAAGGGTTCAATAGGTTCAATAGCAGGTCATGCCTTGTACATTGTACCAGTACGTGTACGGGCTCCTGCAAGTTGCGCGGCCTCCCAGAGTAATCAGACTTATTTCAACCAATATTAATCTGTTAAGTAAGACTTTCCATTCACAATCATTGTTAAATTGCATTGTCAACTATGCGACTTAAGTCGGTATGGAAAGCTGGCGCCTAGTTCCTGGTTTTCTTATTACTTTATAATGAAAAATGAAAGCCCGCCATGTTGACCTAATTCTAAATCTGGATTATGATTGGTTGCTTAGACGCTCTCCGGCTGTTCTGTTCTCTTCTCCTTCACCTAGTAGGGTTTGCAGACCATCAAAATAAGCAAAGCACAAACGCATAAAAATACATTTAAATTGCTTACATGTTCCAATTATAACCATACATATCGTGGAATCCAGCCCCAAGATATCAAGACAAGTGATGCAATAACAATGCCATTTTTTTAATCGATTTATTAAGGAGGGAGAAAAATTGCCTTGGGGACGGATGGCATAATCACGTGGGTATTCGCCATTATGCATGCGACCATGCTGGTCCTGTAAGAAGAGGCGCACTTTGAGCCTTTATGTGGTTCAGACATTAGTAAGTTCATTGATATATCCATGTTAGTTTTTAAAATATGAATTTTAGTGATGCCTATATGTGGCAAACTGAAACATTACCTCTAGACAGCTTGTTATTTGATGAGGGTGTTGTTTCACGTTAACATCTGATGAAAGAACGGATGTCGTTGTCCTTGGATGAGCCAGCCACGTTTCATTTTCAGTTTCTTCAATTTGTAGTTTTAATTGTCATTTAGAGCAAGTTTATTTCTGAGATTTTACTTGTATGATAATGGAGATAATAAAGGTATAATGTGATGGAATTGATCCGATCCCTTTGCTGAACAGGGTAAGTGATAAAAAGGGACAGTCAGTGATATTATAATATATAAGTAATTACTAAATTAGATCAAACCGTACTCCATTGTTTTTTATCTGAGGCGTTTGTCAGCAGTATGTCATTTAATAGTCTAGCAATTTGTAAATTGTGCTTTTTTTACCTGTACATTTCCAAGGGGAGTGCCTTATTTCCTAGTGTCACATGTTGTTTACATTCCATCATGCCTGTTCATTGAACAAAGGGTTACTATAAATAAACACGTCAATAAAGAATTCAACAGTGACAATTGTTGCCCTATATAAATAGAATTTCAGGGCGTTAAGGGTCAAGTCATTATATGTCTAACCAGTGTTTAAAATCTATAATTAAAAGTTACTGTTTTATTTTCAGAATGTGAATTCGGTAAAAAGAAGATTTTGAATAGACCAAGCATTATATTCTTGAGTTAAAAGGTGAGCAAAAGTGATCAAACGAAATTATATGGCAGTGCCAATATTCATAGAGACAATGATGATAATCATAGTTCAGTTATTGTTTAAATAATGATGTCACATATGGTATTTATTTCATGTGGCAACTAAAAATGTCACTCTAACCTGCCACGTCAACAATATAAAATGATGGCATGACATGATAATAACCACAATACAATGATAAGGATTGAGTTACTAGGTCATACATTAATAAGCAGGACCTAAAATTGCCATATGGAAATGTTGACTTGGGTCGGATTGTCTAAAATTTTGTTATGAATACATTTTACTTTGGTATAAAAAATCACAGTGTATGTTTTTTTCTCTTGCAAATAATTCACTAAGAGAGATATTTATAGTTTTAATTATTTAACAGAAATGGTTAGGCTTCATATGTATGCATTATTAAATTCTTTTTTTTTTTAATATCTGACATGTATATGATGCCCAATTATTATATATATATATATATATTATTGTATACCTGTATGTCAATTATTAATTGACTGAAATATGTGATGCAGGTTGGTATGATTGTCACAGTTACTATGGAGTTAGATTCTGTTGCTTAGTAACATGATGCCACCTTGGGTTACCTACCATCATATGTTATATAAAGTGACTAAGGCTTCACACTCCTTAATTGGAATAATGAAACTATGTTTTTATAAAAGTGTTTCAGATTTTTCCTTTTTTTTTACTATGACACATGTTAATCCCTTTGTGTGTCATTTGAGAGAAATAACCACCATTGGGTAAATAAAGAATGGAAATGGAACCACTGAGGATAGAGGCGTGGCCACCATTAATTTGAGGAAAAAAATGTTACAGAGGGGTAATATACTATGACATGCCCTTTTACCTAGACTTTGTCTTTTGCTGTACGTTTAAGCTAACTGAAGACCCCATCGTCTGATAAAAGGTTTTGAGTGGCTGTCTTATCATAGATAGAAGACGAACTTTGAGGCAAAATGCAAATCCACTGATTGTGTTCTTGTTTATTCTGCAAAGTAATGTGAAGTTTATCAGCTACTGAAGAGGTTAAAGGAGATAATTGTATTTACGAGTAGTTGCACACAAAGTTGAGTATACTATGTTTATGCTTTTTAACACTGTTATGTCCTGAACATAAACAATGTAGTACAATAGTAAATTAAAAGCACTGATTCTTATGATGTTCCTTTTGTTATGAAATTCTTCTTTATATATGTAAAACACATATTCTCAAGTGGACCATTTTTCAGCTTTGAAAAATTTTTGGAACAGTGAACAATGAACATGTATCAGTATTCAATTTTTCCAAATGATCTAAAATCAGAGCTACTTATAATCTACCTGTGTAGTGGCATACATTCCACTTTCACCTATTACGTAATCATTTTGTAAATCTGTATAACAGAAAGCCAACTCTGGCAGCTGAATATTACACTGGAGACACTGAACAATAAATGAAAGGAAATAAGCTGACAATTGGCTGAGTTTGAAAGTCATTAAATCTATTTAGTCATAGTATTGGCCAGGTAATGTATGGAGAGATCTATTGTTAACCATTGCTAATGAAGCTCAGCGATTATTGACTGTTGGGACTTTATCCTGATAGGTGGTTTCTCACCTCCGAGTTAGATGACAAAGTAGCTAAAGAATTTCAGGTTGTCATAGTGGTCTCCTACTCAGTAAATCTGTTTAGTTTTGCCGTACAGTAATTGGTTCATAATAAATGGATTTTCCCATTGGCTGAGAGAGAAGCTTCAAGTTAGCTTTTCCGTGACTATTTCATAGCAACATTCATAATTTCATTGACTGGTGGCACACTGTTGTGTATGTCAAGCTGTTCAAGTATTAAGTGTGTTTTTTTTTTCAAAGTGTTTTTTCAGTGCTGTTTAATGTTCTCTTGCCTGTTGAACAGAAGCCTGGTGCAGACAATATCAGCTGGTAAATGATGTTTAAAATTCAAATTCAGTTCAAGATGACAGTACAGGTAGGGTAATATTATCAAAATCTTTTCAAGAAGTTGATGTAGTATTAGAATTTGTGATGACAACCTGCAAACAAATATGTATCCAGATTTTAGATGCAGCTCTTCAAAGCATGCATCTTTTTCACTGAACCTGATGATAGATGTCTCCTAGTATTATTGGAAAAATTATGTAACTTTTTTTCATTCTTCTTTACACAGAATTTTAACTTGAATCTACTTTGATGAAGATTTGGTAATATTGCCTAATCTTTCAGAAGCCAGGAGACTATGAACATAAAGCAAAACAAAATTTAAACAACATTTGGTGAACATGGAACATTGTCCATTGTGAGTGATAGTTTAACTGATAATCCAAGTCTATAACACCCTTTTTTTTTAATTCAGTGCTATGGTGAAGGCCTTTAAATATCCAGATGTATTTATTGTATATTTGTTTAAACTTCAGAAGGACAGGTAATCTAATTGTGAGATCCTTCATCTCATGGTGTTTCAGTGGTGTTTAAGGTTTATATTAGAATATCAGGTGTTATAAATCCAATTTCTATGCATTTAGTGTGAAATCTGATTATTCCACACCATTGTTAATCTTAGGCCCAGCTCTAAAAAGATAAACTAATAATGAGGGATTGTTGTCATCACCATGGAAATGGAAGCTGTTGCCTTAACAACCACCAGATGGCTTTAATCGCGGACTGTAAATCTTGTTATGGAGATAATGTAAGCAATGACAAAATACTGGTTTTATTTCATGAAGGAGAGCTGTGGTGTATGAAAAAAATACATTCTCTGCTTTTATTAAGGTTTCCTTAAGCCATTTTCATATGGTTTTTTCACCAGTTGTTAATGTAAGGTAATAGAAATCCTCTGGCCCTTTTATGAAAGTGTAAGCTTAGGTTGCATTTGATAGTCATAGTAGGGAAAAATTCAGCCCCTTGAG